ATCACCAAAGATACTTTTGTCATCATCACTCTCATCATCATCATCAATATCGCGATTATCAACACCGCTGTCACTGTCATCACCATGTGTGGCGTTCGCGATGGCGGTGTGAAGGTGGCGGCGCATTTGCCACCTGTTGCTGAGGTTCGCCATGTGCATCATACAGGGTGCTGAGGTTCGCCATGTACATCATACAGGGTGCTGAGGTTCGCCATGTACATCATACAGGGTGCTGAGGTTCGCCACGTACATCATACAGGGTGCTGAGGTTCGCCACGTGCATCATACAGGGTGCTGAGGTTCGCCACGTGCATACAGGGTGCTGAGGTTCCCCACGTGCATACAGGGTGCTGAGGTTCGCCACGTTCATCATACAGGGTGCTGAGGTTCGCCACGTCCATACAGGGTGCTGAGGTTCGCCACGTGCATACAGGGTGCTGAGGTTCGCCACGTGCATCATACAGGGTGTTGAGGGGTGCCACGTGCATCATACAGGGTGCTGAGGTTCGCCACGTGCATCATACAGGGTGCTGAGGTTCGCCACGTGCATACAGGGTGGTGAGGTTCGCCACGTGCATACAGGGTGCTGAGGTTCGCCGCGTGCATACAGGGTGCCGTGGTGGCGAGATGTTAACTACCTCGGCTGGTATGCAGGAGGTCGTGGGTTCGATCCTAACCCTGATGCCTGCTGCTGTATATTTTGAGTTTTTGAATGTTCTCCCCGTGGTTGCGTGGATTTTTTTCCGGGTCCTCCGGTTTTTCCCCTCCACATTTAGAAACGTGCGTTTAGACAACTTGGCTGACGTAAATTTCCACGTGATAAGCCACTTCGTTGATCTATCATTTGTGGCCAGGTCGCTTCTGAAAAATAGCTATATAACTCAGTGGGCCTTACCTGGTAAAATAACAAATAGTTTTAAATAGTTGTTACATACACACTACTGCACCTCATGAGCGTCTAATAAGGCCACCACCTCCAGGTGACGGGCAGTGCGAGTACCACACATGACCAGTCGCCTCCGTCATCACTCCACCCTGGTCCATCTGGGTACAATTCCCAGCCCAGGCAATGCAAACATCGGTGCCCGGTTCTCCGTGGCCTCTCCCCTAGGTGCACTCATAACATAAAATGAAAGTACCCTGACTAGTGCGGCAGATGAAGCCGCGCTTCTGCTCGCAATCCTGGTCGTTCCAGGTGCCGTCGTGGTGGTAGAACTCGACGCACGACTCAAGGAATGCCTCTTCGTGCATGATGTCGTTGGGCTCCCCGTCCGCCCAGTTGGTGTAGCCGACAGGAGTGTCGTCAGCCCACGACCAGCCCACTGCTCGCGCACGGAGACACGGGGGGCAGTATTCAGAGGTGAGGGGAGAAGCGTGGGCATAAGGGCACAGAGAGACAGGGGGAACTATTAAGGGAAGTGCGGAGAAGCTGGGGGGAGAGGGTGTGGATGGAAATGAAGACATCGGGGCATGAAGAGAACTAGGGGGAGATATTGAAAGACGCGGGGAGAAGCAGAGAGAGGGTTTGTGTGCCCGTGCGTTTTCCGCGTGCGTGTCTGCGCGTGCCCGTGCGTGTGCGCGCGTCTCACGGAGCTCGTCTCGTCCAAGTCCAATCCACAGGTTGTGGTAGCGAGTGAAGTTTGCACGTAGTAGGAACTCGGTGTCGGCGCGGCTGTGTATGGACGCCAGGTGGGACCTGTGGACGATCTCGCACTCCTGGCGAGCCTCGGGCCACGTGGTCGCGCCTACACGGGCGCACCGATGTCGTCGTGCAGATACGGACACACGTGGGGATCAACACACACGCACACGGACAGTCATTAACATGCACAAACAGGAATTAAACACACACAGACATATCAACACATACAAGCATAGACATACATACTGGTATTAAAACACATAAGCACAGCTACTGGGACACACAGACACAGCGAGAAACATTTCTAGCATTCATACCAGCATCACCCGGCACACAGAGCTGTTCACTGGGGCTCCGGATGGACAGAAGCACAGCATGTACAGATAAGCGCACAAACAGACATGAGGACAGACTGACAGGCCGACGCAAATTTGGAGACACGGGCAAAGCACGTGAACACTCGTGCACACGAGCATACGGACACGGACACACGGACAGACACGCGGACGCCCAGGCACGTGTGCACACGCAGGCACACTGGACGCACCCCCAAGGCTTCCGTCAAAGATGAAGTAGCAGTGGCGTCCGTACGGCTGCCAGCCATTCCAGCAGCTCCCGCCAGCCGCTGGCGGCGTCGGCGGAGGAGGCTCTACATGAGGACACGGGGACACGCGGGGGTGTGAAGCGTTCCTGTGTGCGCGTTGCGAGCGTCCACTTGTGTGTGGGCGGGCACGTTTGTGTGTGTGCGTGCATGCCCACGTGCACGCGTGCTTGAGCGTATGCAAGTGTACATGTGGGCACCGGCGCTCGCGGATGCGTACGTGCACCCAAATGTGCACTTGAGTGCGTGCGTGCGTCTGTCGGTGTGCACGTGTAAACGTCGCTGTGGTCGCGTGCATTGCGCAGGTGGTGCGGGCGCTCGGTGCGTGTACTGGAGTGTTGACGCACGCATCTGTACGCGCACGTGCGCGTGTGCACACGCACCGCTGTTGTACTCGCACACGTAGTGCAGGTGTCGCGAGCACTCGGTGTCGTTCCACGAGCCGCGAAAGAATCCGATGCCGCTGGCGCTGACGCAGCCCTGTCCGGTCCCGCGGGACGGCTCCCCTAGGCCCCAGTTCGAGTAGAGCACGGGCCAGCCGTCCGACCAAGTGTACTCTCCCTCCTTGACCTACGCGCATGCGGGAGGCACGAGGGAGGCACGGGGGTGAGTGGAGAAGTGCAGGAACGCGCGGGGAAGACAGAGGTACGCATTGGGAGACGTGGGGAGACATGGGGATGCGTGACGACACAGGGGAGAGACACGGGGACACTCTGGCGTGATTAAATCACAGTGGGGGCGAAACGTTCGTCACATGCCCAGCAATAAACCTTTTATTTGTTCTTTTTTTAATCTGTCATCTGGCTCATTTGTGTCAACATTACCTGCAAAACATTGAATGCACATGTTACCAAAAATTTATTGAACAAAAAACTATCACCTACTCCTATGTATTTACAAATTGTCGGTGCCCTGAAAGGCCCAGCGCCAAAGGGCCCGGTCCTCCTCGTCCACCAGCGCCCCCCCGACCCTCGCCGCCAAGGCCGTCGCCCACCTTGTCGCTGAGCCCGATCCACATGTCGTCTTTCTCGGGCTGTGCGGCGGCGTTGAGGAATGCCTGCTCGTAGGCCGAGTCGACGCTGGCGAGGTCGGCGCCGGGGTGCATGGCCCGGCACGCGTCGCGCGCCGCTTCCCAGGTGGCGACGCTGTCGCTCACGCGGTAACAACTGGTCCCGCGCGTCGACGTGAAGCCCGCCGGGCAGTGACCACTCGTGGGCTTCGGGTCGGGAATCACGGAGTCTGCGGTGCCCGGGGGTTGCGGGGGGGAGCGGGGCGTGCAGGGGGGGGGGGGGCGCAGGGGCGGGGCGAGGTGGGAAGGTGGGAACACACGCGGGGTCGGACAACGCGAGATGCAACCATCTGATGTCTAACGGTCAGCTCCACTAGCGATGAATTTTTGCTTCTCTTCTGTCTCCCTTGTAATTGATTGTCGGTTTTGGTCCTGTGCTGTATTCCTAGCATCGAATTTGCATGTCATTTAAATATAATTTGCATGTATCGTAAGTGATATTAATCAACGAATCATAGATGCCTAGGGGAGACACAAGGGGCAAACACAGGGGAGACAGAGGGAGACGCACAGGATGACACATGGGGAGACATATAGAAGGACACACGGGGAGAGACACACGGGGAGACAGTCAGGGGAATACATGGGGTGATAGCCAATGCCATCTCACCAGCACTTCCTTTTGGCCAGACCCAATCATTACCCAACCTGCATGCACCACTCCTATGACCCTCACCACAAGAATGAGAAATGGCTAACACCACTGGATCAATAACCAATAGACATACGCTCAATGAAACTGCACCATTGGAAATTCCACATTCTTATGGAAGGGGCCATATGTCTGAACATGTTGTGGCACTCACCTTTTTTCATGTGGCACACAAAGCCGCGTACAACGGAGCAGGGCAAGTCATTCCAGCGGCCGGTAGACCGGCCATGATGAACCATCTCCGTACAGTGCTCCTACACATGAACACAAAGACAAAGATTCCCCGTATAGCCTTAGCAGACTGTTGGGGTAAGTGCTGTTAGTGAGTACCTATGAAGGCCAGCACGGTACACGAGGGAGTGGGTGGCCAGCATCGTGCCCCGGCCGCCTTTGTCTCCCAAGTGGCGATATTTATACACCGCACCAGGTATTCATCTGAGGCTTATTCGACCAATAGGGGCCGTCCAAAAATGACGTCACGCGATTTTGGAGGATTTTTGATCCCCCCCCCCCCCCTCGTCAGACGGCATCACAAAAAGTCAAACCCCCCCCCCTCAAATATGACGCCACAAGCTCTGCCCCGCCCCCTCCAAAAAAAATATATAGAACATGCTTCAAATCGCTTTAAACTATTGTCATTGTAGTGCGGATTTAATGTGGCGCTGCACTCTGAGGTTGTAGGAGAAAACATTTATTAAAAAGTCTATTTAATGAAGTAGAACGTGTTGTCTATATTTATTTAAAGTTGCGCAATTTGATGTGACGTCACATTTCTCTGGTGTTGGCCGTGGGCGGGCATCGAACTCGGATCGCTGGGTTCGTAGCGCAGCGCGCTAAACCGCTGCAACACACGTGCTAGGGCAGCTCTATAAAGATAACGATGGTCCACTCCCTTTAGTGTTCAACAGACTGCTCGGGCAAATGCTGTTAGCGAGTCTCTGATAAGGCCAGCAAGGGACACGAGGGGGTGCCTTGGTGTGACTCCCCACGTGCGCCTCGCCCTTTTAACTTACCCCCCAAAAGCCGTCATTGTTGGGCTCCCCGCCGTTCCAGTTGGTGAAGGTGACGCGGCTCCCGTCGACCCAGGTGAATTCCCCCTCGGAGAGCAAATCCGAGAAGCCGATCCACACAGACACTCCCAGCCCCTCCAGGTGGCTCGCCACAAAGTCTGACCGGGGGACAATGGAGACAAGCAGTGGGGACAAGCAGAGGGGAACATGGTCATGGCGCCGTGGGTGGTGAGATGTTAACTACCTCGCCTGGTATGCAGGAGGTCGTGGGTTCGATCCTGACCCCGACGCCTCTAGATTTTTTTGCATGTTCTTCCTGTGGTCGTGTGGATTTTTTTCCGGGCCCTCCGGGTTTTTCCCTCCACATTTAGAGACATGTGTTTAGACTATTTGGCTGATATACATTTCCATGTGATAAGCCACTTTGTTGGCCAGGTCACTTCTGAAATAGAGCTATATAGCTCAGTGGAGCTATACACAGCGCGGGGGGGGGGGGGGACACAGAAACACAAGAAGGCACCGAATATATGGGGACACACGTGGCGACGAGGAAATATTGGGGGGCCATCGGAGAGACAATAAAACAAGGAGACACGTAACATACACAGAAGGTGCGCTCTCTCTGTACCGCTCATTGTGTCTATCTCTCTCCGTGTACCGTGGCATGCGTACCGTTCTCGCGGTGCGTGCTGATCACGGCGAGGTCGCCCCCATTGTAGCGGCACCAGGCGCGAGCGTCGCTCCAGCTCGAGCGGACTCCCTCCTCGGCAGTGCCGCCCTTCACCAGGAAGCACTTATTGCCAAAGAGCATCCAGCCTGCGTCGTCACGTACCGGCGGCGACGCGCGAGGAGAGGTGGGACACACGCAGGAGACAGGTGAGACACACGGCAACGTGGGGACAGGCGAGGACAAGCGGGGACACAAGGAGACACTGGGGCAGGTGAGGATATACGGGGATGGGTGGGGACAAGCGGGGACACAGGGACACAGGTGAGGACACACGTGGACAGGTGGGGACACACGGGGAAAGGTGAATATAAGCAGAACACATCTGCATCTGCAAGCGTGGCCTCAACAGTGCGTGATGGCGGTGGTGGTGCTGGTAGTGGTTGTGCAAGTGGGGAGCTGTAGTGTAGCGGTTAGCGTGCTGCGCTACAAAGCCGGCAACACGAGTGACGATTATTTTAATCGGTCCTGGGCCTCTCCTAGGTCGACTCAGCCTCAATTGAGTGCCTAGTGCGATGTGTAAAAACATCGGCACTAGGGAGAAAAAAGCGGCCCGGATGTGGTGCTGGTGACCCACGCCTTCGTGTGCCGTGCCGGCCTTCAATAGGTGCTTGCTAACAGCACTTGCCCCAACAGTCTGTTCGGGCTACACGGGGGAATCTTTGTTCTTGTGTTGTGTGTGTACGTGCACGCGTGCGTGTTTGTGCGCGCAGCAAGTACCCCTCGGGCAATTGCCATGCCACGGCGGGGTCGGGGGGGGGTCGCGTATGCGAGCCTCCTGGGTATTTCTTGCAGATGTAGCCCATGCTCGACTGGCCACAGTTGTAGTCGCTCCACTGACCTGGGGGGGGGGGGCAGAGGGAGAGGTTTGGGGAGAGCAGAGCAGAGGAGAGAAGGGAAGGTGGCGAGTACGAGGTCGAGCTTAGGGTTCGTGAAGTGGGTCACCACATTCTCCGGATTGTTTTTATGTCTTTATGTATTGTTAATAAACTCAATCACCCAATCTCAAGATTCGTTTTCAGCAGGGGTCCTGGTAAGATTTCGTAGCAGGTCCCACTCTAGGTGGGCGCTGGCCTGGGCACTGCACCACAGCAATGACCCTTTGACCCCACCCACGTTCACTCTGCTTCGCGGCCAATCATTTGATACGATGCCCCCCCCCCCCCAAAGTGTTCTCCCCCCCCCCTCCGTGTCGTTCCCCACCCCCCAGGGTCCCCGTGCACCCCCCTCCATTCCGCCCCCCCCGTTGTCCCCCCCCCCCATACCCCCAACACAGAATCTCTACTGGATCACCCCCCCCTCCTGCGACACAGAGGCCAGGCCTCTGTGTCACAATTGCGATGCATTTCCCAGTGAATGAATACGTTTAAATTTCGATTTAAAGCTTTCGTGACTGCAAGGATTCAGCTTGAATGCTCTGTCGTCCCGACAGTTCTGTTCTTTCACCCGAAGAAGGCTACTTGTGTTGTGGCCGAAACGTCGTGAGAATTTTATTGTCTTATTTTATTTTATTACTTTATTCTCATTCTACGTGACTTCACCGAAAGAACTTAAAGAAGATGAACACGTCGAGTAAATGTTTAATTGGACCGTGATGCCACAACGGCTTCCTCCTCTTCTTTGGTTGGGACACGAAAGCAAATCGCCGCGCCTTCGTACCGTTTAGGCGGGACATGGCCACGCACTGCTCCGCACCCCCAGCGTCGTTGGGCTCCCCGTGACCCCAGTTGGTGAACCCCACGGGACTCAAGTCCGTCCACCTGGTGGGGAGAGATGACGCACGTGGAGGCGCAGTGAGACACAGACACAATGGGACATGGACACACAGAGACCCAGACAAATGGTGCAAGCAAGGGGAGTAAAGTGTGGTTTTGTGAAAATTCTCGTGTGCTGTGCAGTACATCAATGCACGTGTGTACAGCAGCAGCATGTGGTGACTGAGTTGGGCCTGTGGGTGGCTGGCAGGGTTATTGATTAACCAGACGTGTACACCAGTCACGTGGTTAATGGCGACTCGGTTGAGGATTGCTGTTTATTTGATAACCATGCCCATGACTACTTGCAATGCTATTGAGAATAAAACACATGTACAGTAGGAAGTTGTACAATGGTGACAAGTAAAGTACGTATACTGTACACATACAGTCCAGATAATGGGTGTAAGATACCGATATAAGTGGATGGTATAGGATTAAAGTAATATGTGAAGTGCAAAGGTTATTGTCAAAGACAACGATGGTTTATCAGTAGTAGAATTGGGTTTAAAATAAACTGTTATTGATTAACCGGACTTGTACACCAGTCACGTGGTTAATGGCGACTCTGTTGAGGATTGCTGTGTGTGACACCACGTGCTGTTGCATCTTATAGATTGACCACAATAAATGTGTTTTCCCTCGATTTGGAGCACCTGCCCACGTCCTTCATTTCGAGTGTGCAACACACGGTGAGACCCAGACACATAGAGACTCAGACACATAAGAGACCCAGACACATAGAGACCCAAACGCATAGACACCCAGACACATACAGACACAGACACATAAAGACACAGGCACAGTGATACACGGACACATAGAGACGCAGACACATAGGGACAGAGATACATCAACACATAGAAACATAGATGCAATGGGACACAGACACAATGAGACATAGAGATAATGAGACACAGATACAAAGACACACAAACACAATGAGATAGACATAATGAAATACGGACACATAGAGGAACAGACACAGTGGGACAAAGAGACAAATACATAAACGTAATGACACATGGACACAATGACACAGATACAATGAGACACCACCATAGATACAGCCACAATAGATACATGTGCAATGACACAGACATAGACACATTTACACCCCCAGGGAGACACACAGACATAGACACATCTACACCCCCAGAGAGACACAGACATAGACACATCTACACCCCCAGGGAGACACACAGACATAGACACATCTACACCCCCAGGGAGACACACAGACATAGACACATCTACACCCCCAGGGAGACACACACACAGATGCAGACACATTGGCCGTGCAGCTACATCTGTGCACGTGTATGCATGTAGCAGTGTGCGCGCACATGTGTTGATCAATGTGTATGTATGTATGTATGCGTGTGTTCCTCTCGCGCGTGTTTGTATAAATATCTCAGCAAATTCGTTTTCGTTGGCCCTCAGTTAGAGGGGGAAATTCAAGATTATTATGGAAGGGGTCGAGTCTCCATTAGATGGAGACTATTGACTTCCAACAAATCAGTACTCATATTACTGACCTGGCAAAGGTGAGGATGATGATGCTGATGATAGCGTAGTTGACCCCTGTCCAGGATATGAACTCGTAACTTTCCAAGTTGAATTAACAGGTCTATGTGTGTGTGTGTCTTTGTGTCCCCATTTTTCCATTTTCACATGCATGTCCCTGTTTATGTCTCAGTCCTTCCCTGTCCCCGTGTTTCCCCATGTGTCCCCCCATGTGTCCGCCCCCCCCCCCCATGTGTCCTCGTGAATTGACCCACCTGTACTGGCCCTCGATGTTCCCGATCTCCCAGAGTCCAATCCACGACAGGGCTGAATCTCCTCTGCCCACCTGAAAATCAACAAAGTCACCACCACCAACTACAACATCGACGCCATTGACCGTTACAACACATGCTCTGGCATCATCAACTAGGCACGGAAGCCATCCAATATTTCTATGACGCGTCACAATTCTGGCATTTCGAGGGGCAGAGAGGTACGTCCGATCAACATATTTGAGTTCATTTTCCCGTGCATCCCTGCGTGTCCTCGCATGCACCCTCGCGTCCCTGTGTATTCCCACTCATCTCCGGGCATCCCTGTGCGTGCCCGCGTATCCCCGCACTTCCCAGTGTGTTTCATTTGTCCCCGGGTGTTGCAAAAGGGGTCCCGCGCGAGTCCCCGTGAGTCCCCGCTAGTCCCTGCACGTCCCCGCGCATCTCAGTCGTACCAGGCCGGACAAGTATGTCTGCTCGGCCAGGCTGTGCACGGATGCGAGCATGGCTCCGTCGGAGAGGCAGTTCTCCAACGCGGAGTAGAAGTCGGTGCGCTGTGTGTCGTTGTAGAGGTAGCACACGTTACGGAACTTGCGCCAGCCTGGACTGAAGCCACACTCGGGGGCTGCGGGCAAAGAGACACACACACACACGCACTCACTCATAGACTGAGACACAGGTGCCCCGTACACACACACAATGATCCCTCTGCCACTGCGTAGCCTTTATCAGGGTGCTGAGGCCGATCTTATTAGCGAGCACCAATGAAAGCCGGCACGGCGCACAAGAATGTGATGATTGTTTTTACACACTGCACCAAGTACTCATTTATGATTGAGTTGAGCTCGAGGAGGGCCCATGACTAGTTTGGATACCACTCACCACCGATGTTAGTTGTGGCCAGTGTTCAAAACTCAGGTGTTTGGGTTTGTACCATGTTGCGCTAACTACTATGCAACAGAGACACAAACATACATACACACACTCCAAAATACCACCCACTCCACCCTCCCCCTTGTATCCTACATGGACTTTTGTGCCGTCAGCGAGCACCCATCAAGGACAGAACAGCACACGAGCGAGCGGTGTCGCCGGGGCCCCACTCTGGCCACCTTGTCACCATGCGTGCACCCATGCCCTTGCTCATCTCTTGCGTGACACGAGTATTCGCACACCTGCCCCTGTGCCCGCGCGTTGGTCTGCATGCCTTCCCCCCCCCGCCCCCGTCATCCCAGCCCCCAGGTGTCTCCCAGCGTCTTCCCAGCGGTGCTCACCGGGCTGGTCGGGTGGGAAAGTGGGCGGCACCACAGGCTGAATGAAGCGCGGGATGCGGCAGACCCAGTCGCGCACGGCGTCGCAGTTGAGGTCGTTCCAGAAGGAGGATCTGCCCCACGACACCGACACCTCCACGCAGTCCTCCACACTCTGCACGTCGTTAGGCTCCCCCGGCCCCCAGTTGGTGTGATCCACGGGCGTCCCGTCCGACCACTCCATCTCTGGGGGCGGGGGGAAAGTGAGGGCACACAACGAGGACAGGGGAGACCGGCGGACAGGGAGACAAGGGGGGGCAAGAGTACTCCATGAATATCATGGGGGGGTCCGTTCAGCGCAGGGCAGGAAACCACAGCGGTACCCGTGAGCTGCTGAGTCGGGTTTTCAGCCGCCCGTGATGAGATTAAACCACGCTCTAAAGTGTGGCGAGCTGATGGTCTCAGCCTGGTGACTAATGGTTGCACACACAAAAGTAATATTAAGTTTGGTGCGTAAAAACGTTATATGGCTAAATTCAAAATTCTAGCACTTATACAGTGTAGAGGTGCTCGAAGTAGTCCTGCAATCTCTTCTTTCACGGGCTGTTCTCCAACCCACTTGGGTTATGCATTGCTCAGTTAAGAACTCCAAATGGACATTTCACTGATGGCACAAGTGGAATAAATTTGGAGGGAAAAGGCATGTGCAATACTGTTTTATATATGCGTTAGAGTTGCACTCTGTATCTCCCTGCCGTGATTTCGAGGTGTGCTGTGCTTTGTTCGGCACGGTATCCCACTTGTCGCTCCACGCGCTCCGTGCCAAAAAAACACCCGCTACAACCCAAAGCAATAGAGCCAAGATTATTATGTATTTTTTTTTTTACAAATCTATATTTCCACTGTGACAAAATCCACATCAGATGACGAGCAAGCGGGCAAGCGGAGAACATTCCCCTGCACAGAGGGCACTGCCCACCTCCGGTGAGGCCCAACGCGTGGAGGCCAATCCAGAGATTTCGCCCGGCCGACAGCCCGGCCACGTAGGCCTCTTCGGCAGCGCTGTGGAAGCTCGCCAGCTCGGCGCCCTTCAGCTGGCAGTCGTGCCGCGCCTCGTGCCAGTTCATCCGCTGGGACGGCCGCCCCCCGTTTATCTGCAGGGGAAGAGCAGGCAGGGGCGCCACGGACAGCAAGAGGCCAGAGAGGAGCAGCACGGGGGTTGAGAGATCGGAGAGAGAGGAGGCGTACCAGGGTCAGAGGTTAGAGAGGGGCGAGGCACTGGGGTTGGAGATTGGACAGGGACAGTACCAAGGTTGTAGGTCAAAGGTGGGTGGCACAGGTTCAGAGGTCAAGGAGAGGGTTGAGAGGCTGGAGGATGGAGGGGGTGGGGAAAACATGCGTGTACGTGTACCTGTCTGCGTGTGCATGTGCTGCGCCATCACGCCCCCGCACCTGGTAGCAGTGGTGCAGGGAGGTGGAGCCAACCCAGCCCAGGTCGGTGCGGCACGACCCCCCGGGTGGGGTGGGCTCCGGGGGGGCTGGGGTGTGGCCGGATCGCGGACGCTCGCACACGGAGCGGAGACGCGAGTTGCACGGCTCCGACTGCCACAGCCCGCCGCCCGAGGTCCCCGCCTCCATGGACACGCACGTCCCCGCCTGCGTGTCTGCACGGGGGACAGGCCGCGGAGACAAGGGAGGGACAAGCGTCGATTCGGAAGAGTAGACTTCAGGAGGAGGTGGGACCAGAGGGGCGTTGGAGAATGGTGCATTACGGAGAGAGTGAATGTGTCGCCGAGCCTCAGTGCCTCTGTGTCACCTTGGCAGTCGTACGTGTGTCCTCGTCTCACTGTGGTCCCATCTCCCGTTGTCCAGTCTCCCCATATCCCCATCTCACCATGTCCCCCCCATGTTCCTGTGGCCCCATGCCCCGTGTCCCCCATGTCTCTGCATCCCCCCCATGTCTACGTGTTTCCCCGTGTTCACGTGTGTCCCCGTGTGTCCATGTCCCCGTGTCCCCATGCTCACCCATGTCCCAGTGTCCCACTGTGCGTCCCCATGTCTCCATGTCCCCGTGTCGCAATGCCCACGTCCCCATGTCCCCCATCTCCTTGTGGCTCCTCCCGTGTCCCCAGGCATCTTACCGGGCATGTTGCGCCCCCAATGAGTGTATGTGACGGCCATGCCGTTGTCCCAGATGAAGTCGACCCCGCCCTGGTCGTTGGGTCGCGCCGCAATGCCGAGCCACCAGCGCCCGCTCTCGCTGCCCAGCACGGCCGTCAGGAACGACTGCTCGTAGCTGCACAGGTACACGTGCGCGACACACACGTGTATACACGTGTACGCACGTGTACACATACACGTGCGTACACATGTACGGATACGTACAGATGCGCATGCATTAGCACGCACTCGCCTACGACGGTGAATACTCGCGTGCCCGTGCGCGCGCACGTGTTTATCCGCGTGTGCGTGCGTGTACGCGCTCGCGTGCATACATGTCGTGTACGTGCACGATGGTGGCGCCGTGGTCGTGGCAGAAGAGTTTCGCGAACCCACGCGCGTACTCAACCTCGTCGAGCAGATAGCACGAGTCCGCGTAGCCCAGCCAGCCCTGGAGACACATGCGGGGACACAGCAGACAACATTAATTTCTTTAGCCCAGCGTCTGCTTGAGACACGGGCACACACGAGGACACATGGCGATGGTGTTGATGGTGTGGGTGGTGATGGTGCTGGTGGTGCTCATGGTGCTAGTGCCGATGGTGATGATGGTGCTGGTGCGGATAGTGCTGATGGTGCTGGTGATGATGGTACCGATGGTGCTGATGGTGCTGATCGTGATGATGGTGATGATGGTGCTGATGGTGATGATGGTCATGATGGTGCTGATGGTGATGATGGGGATGATGGTGATGATGGTGCTGATGGTGATGATGGTGATGATGATGACGGTGCTGATGATGATGGTGCTGATGATGATGATGGTGCTGATGGTGATGATGGTGCTTGTGGTGATGATGGTGATGATGGTGATGAAGATGATGGTGCCTGTGTACCTGTGGACAGCCGTCCACGATGGGGGGCACGGAGGGGGCTGGGTAATGATTCTTGGGTTTCTCACACACAGCAAAGTTCGGCACCGAGCACACCTGGTCATTCCAGCGCCCATCCTGCACGCACACACACAGATGCACACACACACGTGTACACACACACACGTGTACACACGTGTACACACACACATGTACACACACATGTACACACACACGTGTACACACGTGTACACACACACATGTACACACACATGTACACACACACGTGTACACACGTGTACACGCACGTGTATACACGTGTACACACACGTGTACACACGTGTACACACACGTGTGTACACATGTGTACACGCACGTGTACACGCGTGTGTACACACACACGTGTACACACACACGTGTTCACATACAAACAAAGATCCCTCGTGTAGCCTTAACAGACTGTTGGGGCAAGTGCTGTGAGTGAGCACCTATGAAGGTCGGCACTGTGGCACACGAGGGGGTGGGTGACTACCACTGCGCCCGGCCGCCTTCGTCTCCCTCGTGGCGATGTTTATACACCTCACCAGGTACTCATTTGAGGCTGCCCACTATACTAGCGCTATATACACACACACACTCACACAGAAGAAGACACACACACACACACAGGTGCACATGCGTACACATACACGCACGTGTGTGTGTTCACGCGTACCGAGGCTCTCATCTCGACACACTGCTGCCCCAGGACGGAGCCTCCGTCTGGCTGCCCCCGGGCCCAGTTCGTGTAGCGCACGTCGCTCCCGTCCGACCACAGGAAGTAGCGCTCGATAGCTAAATCATTGAGCCCAATCCACAGCGGGCCCGATGCTACGGGGACACGGAGACACGGGGAGACAAGGAGAGACAGGAAGACAGCAAAGAGCTCATTCCAATCCGCAGTGTGCCCAACACTACAGCATCATGGAGACATGGGGAGACACGATGACACAGAGAGACATGAGAAGACAGGGAAGAGGTCGATCACAAACAGAGATGGGCTCACAGATAGAGAGAGAGAGTCTCACCCAGGTAGAGGAAGGACTCAATCCAGGCTTGCTCGGTGAAGGACCCCAGGGAGATGAGTTCAGCGCCCATAGTCAAACAGGAGCGGCGAGCGGATGCCCAGGACAGGGCTTCGGTTACAGGGTGGTAGCAAGAGTTTCCAAACTCGTGCCATTGGGCACTCTCGCACCGTAACTCTGTTGGCACACACCATCAGCGTCATTGTCATTATCAACATCATCAATATCATCAATGTCATCAATATCAATGTCATCATTATCAATATCAATGTCGTCATCCTCATTATCATCATAACCTTCATCATTATCTTCACCATTATCATCATCATCAGGAAAGTCATTATTCATCCAAAAAAGCTATTCGATGAATTTTCACAATCTGACAACGCAATTCAATTCAAGCATCGATTCTCCGTGTCTCGGTTTTGCTGCGATTTTTTTTTTATTACAGTCATTGATATCATTCCGGACATCGTTAACATCGCCGCCTTCCTCACGATCGTTGACTTAACAGTAATCCCGATTTAAAGCTTTCGTGACTGCAATGATTCATCTTCTTTGGTTCTTTCGGTAAAGTCACGTAGAATGAGAATAAAATAATAAATTGATAAAATAAAATAACACAGCGCTGTCCTACCAGACAGTCTCGTCCCTTCACCTGATGAAGGCCGCTTGTGTTGTGGCCGAAACGTCGTGAGAATATTATTGTGTTATTTTATTTTATCAATTTATTATTTTATTTTCATTCTACGTGACTTTACCGAAAGAACCAAAGAAGATTAACAGTAATCCTTACTACCAATGTCGACATCAACCGCACAGACGTCATCATCATCATCACCGCATTATTCACGGTGGTATCAACATAATAATTTTACCAACTCGGTGATCACAGCCGTAATCACCAACAACATGGACTCAATTATGACTCATGGAATCATCATCACCTTAATCATTGATGACGCCATTGTCAAGATCATGATCACAATCAAGGTCATCGGGGAGATTTTGGTGATCTGTAGCATCGCCACTGTTGACACCGTTGAGGATTGGAAGATCATTTACTCTCCCCTGTCCCACTCATGGTGAATCCGGAAGAATTATAATCAAAATTAAGAGATAGACCCTCATCATCATCATTACATCACCTCCATCAGCAAAGGCGAAGGAATCTGTCCAAGTGCCTTCGTACCTGCGGCGTCAACACCAACAGTCAGGGCCACATAGCAGCTTCATTGACAGTATAGTGCATGTGCGTTTGTGCAGCTAAGAATGTGCGCAGTGGAATGTGTGGCTGTGCAGGTGTGTGTGTGCACATGGCCTGGCACAATTGTTGTGGTGACGTCACCGCCACTTAGTGGCGAATGGCGGTTGTTTTTGTGTGGGGAGTGGTAGTGTCGCGGCTAACGCACCGATATACAAACCTGGCGACCCGGGTTCGATTCCTACTCACGGTTCTGGGCATCCCCTAGGTCGACTCAGCCTCAAATAAGTACCTGGTGCAGTCCGTAAACATCGCCACTTGGGAAACAAAAGCGGCGAGGCGTGATGCTGGCCACCCGCCCCTTCATGTGCCCGTGTCGGCCTTCATAGGTGTTCGCTAACAGCACTTACCCGAACAGTGTTTTTAGGCGTTACGGAGGATCTTTGTCTTTGTACAGCTGGGCGTGCAGCCATGGATCTCTATGAGCACGGAGGGCATGCTCGTGTAGCTCTGGCATACAATGCGCATGTAGCACACGATGGGGGTAACGACAAGCAGGTGGGTGACCACCGTCATCTGGTCCACCCCATCGTGTGCCGTGCCGGCCTTCATTGATGCTCGCGAACAGCACTTGCCCCAACAGTCTGTTAATGCTACACGGGGGATCTTCGCCTTTATGTGGATGTAGAGGAATCGTAGCGTAGCGGTTAGCATACTGCACTATGAACCTGCACCTCTGATTAGCACGTTTGGCTATGTACGATGCAAAAAAAATTCAATGTACGTACGTAAAACCCAACAGCTCCGAGTTTGATTCCCACTCGCAGCCAACATTGGTGATGAATATCTGAACTGGTCCTGGGCCTCACTTTACACACTGAATGCAGTGTGTAAATATCAACACTCGGGCGACAAAAGCGGTTGGGCACGGTAGCAGCGGCCCCACCGCTCCAGGTTTCTTGCGAACAGCACTTGCCCCAACATTCGGTTATAAAGATCTTTGACGAGCGCGTGTGCGTGCGCGTGTGCTGGATGCGCGCGTCACGTTTGGGAGGTGACGCCGTTGCGCGTGGAGCCCGGGTAGAGGCTCTGGCCGGGCCGCCTCAGCACCGTGACCTCCCCACCGTGGTCACTTGACACCACGCCCGCGTGCACGCCCGCCACGCACACGGGCGAGTCCTGGTCCACGGAGTCGCGCACGGAGTCACGCGCATGGAGTTACATGGCCCCGACTGAGCACGCGCGAGTCACAATGCGTGTGTGTGTGTCTGCGTGTGTCTCGCTTCGTGTGGTGGCGAGGGGACAGCAAGGCTTGGCGTGCGTTGTCTCACCCCGCGGTAGACGGACGTTCCGTACACGATGTTCCCAGACAGGGTACATCCAGGCGGGCAGTGCACACTGCACGGACACACAGGTACACACACGTAAACACTCACACACTGGCACAATCCTCAAACCCCTATCAGCACGAGCCCTACGCCTTTCTCGACCAAAATACAAGTTCGATCGTACTGTATTAAAAAAAATCAATATTGTGTTTTATATAGCATCATCGTTCATGTAAATTGCATTTCACAGTCACTAAGGAACCAGAGATGAGTTGGAAGGCAGCAGCAGCAGCCAGGCGGCTGTTATACTTTGAGTGGAAATAGGTGTGAATATGCATGTGTGTGCGTATGTTCGAGTGAGTGTGCAGTGGGGAGCAATAGTGTAGTGGTTTGTGCACTGCGCTATGAATGACAGTGGCGAGTATATGAACCAGTCTAGGGCCTGCCAAAGGTCGACTTAACCTTAAATGAAGAGCTGGTGCCGAGACAAAGGTGAATAGGCGTGACGCTGGAAACCCACCCCCCGTGTGCCATGCCCCAACAGTCTATTAAAGGCTATGGGGATGTTTATCATTGGTTTTCTTTGTACGTGCGTGTGTATGGGAGGGTAATCATCCTTACGTTATCTTCTGATTGTGATCGCCAAGTAGATTTTGACTGCCGCACTGAACAGCATCTAGAACACATCACCATCATCACCCATTACCACCACCATCATCACTACCACCATCACCACCCATCATCATTACCACCATCATCACTACCACAATCATCATTAGCACCATCAAAACCACCACCACTTTTATTCTAAGTAACCCCACCACCAACCAAAACGACAATTATCACCACTATAACCACCAGTAATTGTCACAAGCAATCTCGTGCACGTGCGTGAGGGCCTTGTGCAGGAACAGACACCTTTATGCGCCAGAGCACACGTACGTGTCTATACACATGCTCGTGCATAATCACTCGCGAACACTAGCGTGCACAAACACACACGTCTGCTTGTGCGGCCTAGTGTAATGTGGTGGTTAGCGCGCTGTGCGACTAACCCTGCCGGACGATTATTTGTATCGGTCCTGGGCCTCCCCTAGGTAGACTCAGTCTCCTCAAATGAGTACCTCGCGCGATGTGTAAACATCGCCACCGGGGAGACAAAGGCAACCGGCCACCCACCCCCTCGTGTGCTGTGCCGGCCTTCATAGGAGCTCGCTAACAGCACTTTCCCCAACAGTCTGTTCAGGCTATACAGGGGATCTTTGCCTTTGTACGTGTGTACACGTGTGTGTGTGTGTGTACGCGTACAGCTGGGTGCGCAGCCGTGGATCTCTATGCGCAGGGCGGGCGTGCTCGCGTAGCTCTGGGGCACGATGCGCACGTAGCGCACGATTGGGGTAATGCCAAGCAGGTGGGTGACCACTGTCGTCCGGTCCTCGTTACCCGCAAACACCTGAGACACGTGGACACACGGGGGGGGGGCGCACAGTGACATTGAAAAATGGGGAAGGGGCGACGATCCAAGTCCGGTCCACATTATCCACCAACCCCTGAGCCGCTTTGGCACTGCGAGAGGATGAGATGCCCGAGTCCTCGCGTGCACGTTTTCACGTGGAGACGCGGTCGCATTTCGTACATTTACATTTTTATATTACACAGATTCACATAGCGCCTTATTGCAAGGCGCTTAACAGCAATTATGAGAATTGCACATGAGATGAAAGTGGTTGAGATCAACAGTGGGGTTATTAAAAGTGGTGGTTAGGAGGAGAGGTCGGGGAGTGGTTCAGGAGCGGCTGGGGGAACGCCGCCTCGTCGCAGTTGGGGGGCAGGCAGTGTCAGAGCGAGGACAGGATAGGGAGAAATGATGGGGGTTGTTTTAAGGGAGGAACAGCGGTAGGTGTCCGCGCCTTGGTCCTTTGTGCGCGACGACGAGCGAGCGCGCGCACGTACGTATGTGGCGCCGTTCTCCTGGTACGGGGCCCATGTGCCGCCGTTGGAGCTCGTGTGCACGTGGTACGTCGTGACCCAGTGGTCCGTGCGGGCGCTGCCCTGCGTTGAGATGCCGGTCACCTGGAACACCGAGCCCAGGTCCACTTGCAGCCACGAGCCCGCTGGGGGTCACGGGGTCCCAAGGTCATGAGGTTATGATATTGCGAGGTCAGGGCTCGTGTCACGATTGGTTTTGCGAAGGCCCGTGCAAATTTCCTTTTCATAGTTGTCAAAAAAAGGTGGGCAAAATCTGGAATATGAGGAGTGATTATCTACGTGGTCAATTGTTGAGAAACCTTTCCTCAATCCAGTTCAAGTGGTAGGTTAGTCTCTACATTGTCCATTATTCAGTGATATTCATGATGCTCACTCACTTTATATACCTGTGACAGGAGGCTCAAATGAGTTTTTGTCTCCCTTCTTTGAAAAGGAATAGTGAATGGAGGCATAATGTCAAGATTGGGCAAATTCAATCCGGCATAAGCATTTCTTAAACAGGTGAGAAAATCTTGATCCAACGGCTCGGTGATGCATTTTTGGAAGATGTCCACAAAAAAAATATGACAAATACATCAATTTACAACAACAACAAAAACCCCATTTCTCAAACCCACGGGATTGATGCCAGCATCGTGAGAATGATAATACACTTCAATCTGAACCAGTCCTGGGTTCGCTTTACCAACCTATACCGACCAGTGTGGTGAAGTATGATGACGCATATGGCATGGAAGAGACCCTCATCTAGCGGTGGAATGGCATTATATTTGATCATTAATTTATTTAAAGTAAGATTGTTCAATTGGTCGCATCAGTGCCATAGGTGGAGGGGATGGTGGTGTAGATGGCGGTGATGGCGGCAACAGTGATGTGGATGGAGGCGATAGCGGAGACAGTAATTTGGGTGGCGATGATGATAGTAATGGAGGAGATGTTACCGTTGCTGTTAGGTGACCACCAGCTATTGCTGTGGAGACGGGCCTCGTTGGCTGGACACCCTGACAACGAGGAGGAGGCGGTGATGCTGGAGTCTGGTATGGCGCCCGACTCCATTCCCAGGCCCTGCACGCACACTGCATCAACAACACCATAACGCCCATCAACATCAACACCATCACGAACATCGACACCATCACGCCCATCAACATCAGCACCATCGACACGATCACCACCATCAACATCATCATCAACATTTTTTACGACCGTCAACACCATCACAACCATGAACACCACCTGCTGTGCAGGGCCAGAAGGGGGCACGGGCACGTGAACCTCATGGGGTCTGCACGACACTGGGCCCTGCTGCGCGTGCGCCGTTGGTTACGTGCACCCCACCTCCACTCCCCCCTCAACCCCTTGTCCCATGTTCCTGTCTGTCCCAGTGTCACGTGTCCCCACGCATCATGTTCCGATATTCCCATGCTCCCTTGTGTCCCTGTGCGGCCCCGCATCTCCCCGTGTTGTCCCTGTGTGTCCCTGTGTATCCCTGTGCCTTCCTTTTGTGACCCTGTGTGTCCCTGTGTCTCCCAGTGCCTCCCTGTGTGTCCCTGTGTATCCCTGTGTGACCCTGTCTGTTCCTGTGTGTCCCAGTGCCTCCCGTGTGACACCGTGGGTCCCCGTGCCTCCCCGTGCCTCCCCGTGCGCGCACCGTTCTGCTCGCAGGTGTAGGTGACCTCGAGGTACTTGGTGATGGTGGGGCAGTTGTCCCCGAACTCGTCTTCTGTGGCTCGGACCAGACACCAGGGCCGGTTCTCACAGTAAGTGCGCACGTGCTGCACCGCCCCCGGAACCACGCACGAACCTGCACAGGGACACACGGCGAGACATGGGGGGTAACACGAGGGGACACAGTGGAGACACAGCGGAGACATGAGGAACAAACGGGTGAAACTCGTGCGGATGCAGAGGACACGTGGAGACACGCGGAGACATGGAGGGCAACACGAGGGGAAACGCGGGGACACAGCGGAGACACGTGAGGACACAAGGATAACATGGTGGAACACGGGGACAACGAGAGGGGGGAGGGAAACGTGGCAATACGGAGAGACATGCGAGGGGACACGGAGAGACATGGATGGGCAGGGTGGAGTTACTTGGGGACATGAGGAGACCTTTTTATCTTTCTATATTCCATATCTAGGTGCTATTTTGGATTTTTTTCTCTCAAATTTATCCAGTTTATACGCGCATATACGTGCGTACGTTACATATGTGCGCCCATTCGTGTACGCGAGTGTGCACACGCGCACCGGTCTGGGCCCCCACGGCACACTTGTCGTTGCTCGAACGCCCCCAGGTGGCTGAGCGGATCTGTATCACGCGGTCCCCGTGGCAGTCGATGGTCAACGAATCCCCGCGACACGCGTACACACGCAGGAAGCCTGCACGCACACACACAGACACACACCAGCTCACACCCACACGTGTACGCACGCACACACACCAGCTTATACCCACGCGTGCATGCACGTGTTCCTCTTTACACACGGGAATAGAGGAACACGTGTATTTGGGCATACGGACGTGTAAAAACACGTGCGTCGTCACAGCTACGTGCACACGCGCTCACTCACGTACCCTCGTGCTCGTCTGGCTCTGGGTCTGGTACGTTGCCTGGAAGAGACGACAAACACGGATTAACAACTTCATGCCGACGCCTTTGTTCGCCGCACGTCTCCCTTTGTCTCTCGTATTCCCTGGGCTGCCTCGTGTCTCCCTGGGTCCTCATATTCCTCGTGTATTCATCTCCCTTGTGAATCCCTCTGTCTCTTATACCCCCCCCCCCCCGCCATCTTCAGCGTGTCTCCCAGTGTGCCTGTGTCTTTGTAACTCGCAGATGTACTCTCTCTTCCTCCGTGTCTCCCATGCATCCCCCTATGTCTCTCTTGTCTCCGTCTTCAGCATGTCTCCCAGTGTCCATCGTATCTCCCTCGTTTCCCCGGTGGCCCCAGCGTGTCCCCGTACCTCATCGCTCAGACACACTCTCTCCCTTCGTATCTCCCCCGTGTCCCCACCCTCCGTGTCCCCAACCCTCCATGTCCCCCTGTGTCTCCCTGGTTCCCCCGTTTCCCTGTACCTCATCGCTCAGACACACTCTCTCCCTTCGTATCTCCCCCGTGTCCCCGTCCCCGATTCCCCTGTGTCTCCCCCCCCCCCCCACCGTGTGTCCCTGTACCTCGTCTCTCGCAGATGTAGCCCCGCAGGGACGCGCATGCCTCGTCCTGCCACTTCTGCCCATCAATCCGCATGGATAGGCAGTTCCTCCCAAGCCGCCCATCGGGCTCTCCTGGGGGTCAGGGTAAGGAGTCAAGGGTTAGGCTTCAGAGTGCGGAAATGGAGGGGCTAACTATGTGTGTGGGTGGGTGTAGCGCTGTCTAATAGTGAGTAGGGTAGTGCGGTAGTGAGTGGTGTTGTGTAGGAGTGTGTGTGTGCGCATGTATATCGTGTTTTGTGTACAGCATTGTGTGGTGGTGTGTACGAGCGCTCTGCTGCAATTGAATACCGCTTTGTGTAGTTGTGTACATTGGAGCTGGGAGATTTCTGCCGCATTCAAATTCGATTTCTACAATTCCACCTTCAGGTAAACATGCAAGAATCGAGATTATGCTGCGGGTGATTCCCGTGTTGAAATCTCCGATTCTTTTGATTGGGAGTCTACGAGATTTTCTGCCGTGGGAGATGCGTGCCATAGAATGGGCTCCTATTCCAAATGTTTTGTTGTTTTGTTGCCTTTCCCAACGATGATAACTGGTGCCCTTACGCAATTTTTACTTTTATACTTTATCTATTTACGTGTTTATTTTTAGTGATTTGCTTACCTTTCCTATACATTGCACTCCGATCGTGTTTTGTTTAATACTGTTTGTTGTTGTAACTTCCTGATCCAGTCCCCTACTGGACATCTGTGAAAAAGATTCTTCACAGCCCGTTGGATTTCTCCACGACAAATAAAGACTCCGATTCTGATTCAATTCATCGAGGGGGTAGGGTCACAATGAGCGTATCCTAAGCATCGCCAACTCCAGCCAGCCCAGCGGTGCTGGCCATTTGCCTGCGGCCCGGGTGAAAGACTCGGCGTTCTCAGTGGACGTGTGCAGACGTAGTGAGTAGTGTAGTGCACGGTGCGTGGTGGGGTGTTGTGTATCGCGCTTGTGTGCAGGCAGGATGCATTCTTGGTAAACGGAGCGCTATACGAAACAGCGCTGTAGGAGGTCACTATAACGTGCCCTCAATGGAGATGCGTTACCAACAACGTACATTTTTTTTATATTCTTGGGTCTTTCGGTAAAGTCACGTAGAAATAAAATAACCTATCTACGTGACTTTACCGAAAGACCCAAGAATATGAATTCCTGCAGTCACGAAAGCTTTAAGTCAAGATTTTTTTGTTATCTACGTGCGATTTATTTGAATTTCATTTGGGATCTCGGTAATGGCCTGAATAATGATACTGTAGACATGATAAATGTATTAAAGCGTTTCATAAATAAAAAAGAATAATAATAAAAAATATATTGCTGTGGTGTACCTACCTGATGATGATTGCTTGTGTTGCAATCGAAACGCTGTGATTTAATTTATTTTATTTTATACCTACGTGACTTTACCGAAAGAACCAAAGAGTATGGATCCCTGCAGTCACGAAAACTTCAAATCTAGATTAAAAAAAAAAATAACTTATAACGATAATGACATGAGGAATATAAAATAAGTGATGTCCTCACAAGTGCATTTGGTCGGAGCTTGCGTAAGATTAACCACCGTGTACTATACTAACCAATGGGATTACTCAATCGGTGGATCGCTTGCCAATGAATCAATGCAGTAATTAACCCTCAATGAATCGATACTCTAACGAAGCTGTCGGATAGACGATGAGCAGAATCGATACAATAGCAACCACATGCAGGTTCCACACGAACATATATGGGTAAAGACACGATCTACGGGCAATGCCACGCTACTTGCATATATGGGCGGATCCGCGCAGGAATTTTCTTCCTGGACAAAGAGCGTCATGGTGCACCAGCGTTATAAGAGGCAGCGCTGTAGGGGGTATGCCTGTATTCGTGCTGTGTACTCGAGTAGCGGGTCGTGAGGTTTGTGTGGTGTACCGGGGGCCCAGTTGAAGTACTGGAAGGGCGCGCCGTCACTCCAGGACCACCCCCCCGCAGAGTCGGCGTCGTGGCCGCCCATCCAGAGCGCAAGGCCCGTGTCCAAATTCGCGACGAGGCCTACACGCATCACGCGCCACCACGCGCCGTCCACAACGACACAAGTGTCCAAACTCGCGATGAGGCCTGTACACAACGTGCACCCTCGCGCACCACCACAAGACACCGAGCCAGGCTGTCTTTGTCTCCCCAGTGCTGATATTTACACACCGTGCCAGGTACTTATTTAAGGCCGAGTCGACCCAGTGGAGGCACAGGAACGGTTAAGATATTCGCCACCGATGTTGGCTGTGAGCAACAGTGGAACTCGGTTTGCTGGGTTTGTCGCGCAGTGCGCTATTCCTCTGCGCCACCGTTCCCCATGGGTCCCAGACGTCCCACGCGCTGCACTCTCACCCTGGATGACCAGCTGCTCGAAGGGGTTGGAGATGCTCAGGAGGTTTCCCTCGTAGGCCATGCAGTCTGTGTGCGCGTCCTCCCAGGTCTGCACGTACACGAGTACAAAGAAAAAGATAATCCGTATAGCCTGAACAGACTGTTGGGGAAAGTGCTGTTAGCGAGCACCTATCGGTTTTTCAGTTTAATTTATTTGGTGTAGCCCTGTGAGCCATTCGGCTCTTGAATCGGGTGCAACCGCAACAAACCAAAAACGTGAACAAATATATGTTAGAATTAGAAACAAATATATGTACACGAATAATTAATATCCGTTTTTTTTGGATAATGTAAATATTATGAACCTTTTTTTGTAAATTAAACTCGTGGTTTTCGCGTTTACCGATACAGTATGTTTCAAATGTACAAACACCAATTGTGATAAAGCCATATGTCCAAGACAGAGCATAGGTACTCGAATGTGGGATATCGTCAAAATAATATTTACAATAGGTTATAAGACGCTGCTGACGCACTTGACGTAAATTTGCAGCCGCGTAAACGGCGCTGACACAGCTCCAAAAATGTTGTGTCACCCTATGAAGGCTGGCAGAGCACATGAGGGGATCGGTGGCCAGCACCATGCCAGATCGCCTCTGTCTCTCCAGTGTAGATGTTTACACATCGAACCAGGTACTCATTTAACGCTTACTGGACCTAGGGGAGGCCCAGGACCGCCTCAGACAACCGTCACTAATGTTGGCTGTGAGCGGGAATTGAACTCGGGTCACCAGGTTTGTAGCAGGGTGCGCTAACCTCTACACTAACGCTCCCCACACGAGTACACGCACCATATTAACATACGTGAGGGGTAGGGTGAGGGGGTGTGTGATTAGACGATTGGAGAACGAGGTGGTGTGTTTAGCGAAGAAGGTGTGATGGGACAAGGAGGTTTGCGGGAGGAGCCCACCTTGTAGTGGGTGTCGCGGATGAGGTAACACGATGGTCCAATGGGGTCGTCGATCCAACTTCCACACTTCTGATTCCAACCTGAAGCACAGCAAACATCACGTGACTTCACAACTAGACATCATGTGATCCCTCAACGAGATATGTGACTTCTCAACCAGATATCATGTGACATCTCAACCAGATATCATGTGACCTCTCAACCGGATATCACACGATCTTTCATCTGGATACCATTATTTAGCCGAGTATGTATATTATTTGGCGTATGTGTGTATATAATGTACCCGGGTATGTCGGTGTGGGTGGTTTTGGTCCAGTGCCCGTATCTGTAAATTAAACATAACATGTTGACCGATTAGATTAATCAACCAATTAGAACACTCAACCACGTAGATCACTCAACCACGCAGAGTGTGAGCGAGGGGTGTGCACGCACGTTTGGGCTTCTTGCACACGTAGACGTGGGGCTGGTTGCAGTTGATGTCGTTGAACTCGGCGCTTCCGTACGCCGCGGGGTTCAGCACTGTCACACAGTGCTCCGAGTTCATCCAATTGTCCGGCTGGCCCTCGCGCCAGCGCAGGTAATCCTGGGGTGCAAATGGGGAGACACGGGGACACGGGGTGTACAGGGTTAGATACAGGGAGAAACACGGGGACACGAGCAGACAACGGGAGACACGGTGGAAGTCAGGGGGACATGAGAAGATGGGGAGACACGGGGGGACGGGGCAACATGGAGACACGAGAAGACAGGGGAAGACAATGGTGACAAGGAGACAGGGATATGAGCAGACAGAGGGAGATACGGGGTGACGGGATGCACGAAAAATTAGCGGTCAGAAGGAGACAGGGGGCGACATGAGGTGATAAGGTGATCAGTGAGCCAGTGAGTTGTTAGATGAGAGGCTAAGAGGATGAAAGAGATTGAATTAATGAGTAAGGAAGTTACCGAGTAAGTGAGTGACTGAGTATTTGAGTGGATTAGTGAGTGTGCGAGCGAGTGAATGCGTTCGTGAACGGTTGAGTAAATGTGTCAGTGGGCGAGTGGGTGAGTAGCTGAGCGAGTTGGTGAGCTTGTCAGAGGGAGCTTTGGCGAGTGAGTGGGTGGGCGAGCCGTCCTCACCGTAGGAGTGTTGTCCACCCACTCCCAGGTGCCTTCGTGGACGATGTCATTGAGGCCAATGAAGGAGGTGTCACTCAAGTGAGCTGCAGAAACGGTACACACAGGTGGGGTGAACACCTCAACTACCACAACCACCTCAACGTCCACCACCAACGACACAGACTGATGGGGCAAGTGCTGTTAGCGAGCACCTATGAAGGCCGTCACAGAACACTAGGGGGTGGGTGGCCAACACCACGCCCGGCCACCATTGCCTCCCCAGTGGCGATGTTTACACACCAGGTACTCATTTGAGGTTGAGTCGACCTAGGGGAGCTGCATGACCGGTTCAGACAATCGTCACCGGTGTTGGCCGTGAGCGGGAAATTGAACTCGGCTTGCCGGGTTCACAGCGCAATAAGCGCTACACTACCGCTCCCCACACCACTAACCACCACCACAACCATCATAACCCACCGCAAACAAAACAACCCCAATTACCTCAACGTCAACTACCACAGCCACCTCATTCTCCTCAATCAGAGGATGAATTTAGTTGAGAGCCACGTATATATGCATCTTGAACTTCTTTGGCACCGTACATAGCCAACCGTGCTAATCGGAGGTGCGGGAGAAGGACAACAAACTAAACACAAAAATAAGTTCTTAGGAAATTAGTTTTCAATCTAGGAAATTAAAGGTGGAGGGGATGAGTAGGAGGGAGGATTGGCTATCATACTATATTTGAAAAAAAAGGTTTTGCTGGCTGGCTGGCTAGAGGGAGGGAGGGAATCTCACCCCCAATGAAGCTCATCTCGTCCTCATTGTGGATGCTCGCCAGGGCCCCCGCCTTCTGCTGGCAGAAGTCCTGCGCCGCCTGGAACGTGCGCAGCGTCTCGCGCTCAAACAGGTAGCACGAGTCCACGTGCAGCAGCCAGCCCGACTCGCACCAGCCGTCTTGAGACAAGGGCGGAGGGGGTGGGGGTGGTCGATACAATCAGGGGGTGGGGGCAGGGGATCGGGGGAGATCGGGGGTCAGGGACGGCGCGGGTGTCTCTGTGTGTGTGGCAAGCGGTGGTGTAGCGGTTAGCGCACTGCACTATGAACCCGGCGACCCGGGTTCGATTCCCGGTCACGGCCAACGTCAGTGACGGTTATTTGAACCGGTCTTGGGCCTCCCCTAGGTCGACTCAGCTTCAAATGAGTACCCGGGGCGGTGCGTAAACATCGCCACTGGGGAGACAAAGGAGGCCGGGCGTGGTGCTGGCTACCCACCCCCTCGTGTGCCGTGCCGCCCTTCATAGGTGCTCGCTAACAGCACTTACCCCAACAGTCTGTTCAGGCTGTACGGGGTATCTTTGTCTTAGTTGTTTTTTGAGGAGTGGGGGCGCGTGGCTCAATCGCTCAACAAATATTTCCCGGGTCACTCGTAGACCGGAGTGTGCAGTGTGACTGGTAGCCGCAGGCATAGCGAGAGGTGTGATGAGATGTGGTGTGCCGTGTCGTCAGACCGCACAGATCCGGCCGAAGTTCAGCCCTACAGGGGGAAGCGATATCACGGAGCGGTAATTCAGGATTGTCCGCACGCACGCGCGCACGCGCGTGCTCACCTGGCGAGGCCGTGGGCAGCACCACTTGTCCCCCGTGCACCTCGCACACGAAGCTCTGCACCTTGATGCAGTCGGTCGTCTCCCACTTGCCCGATTCTGAGCCTGGGGTTGGGAAGGGCAAGGGGGGGGGGAAGGGTCACGAGGTATTCCGGGGGCGGGGTGAGGTTGGGGCGACAGAAGTTGTAAGAGAGCAAGGACTGCGTAGCGCTATCCATGCACACACGCTTGTGTGTATGTACGTCGGTGTGTGTGTGTGTGCATACATGTGTTTATGCGTGTACATGCGTATGGTTGTATGCGTACACACGTTTTCGCGTACGCACCTTCGACTAGCACGGTTGGCTTTGTACGGTGCGAAGGAAGTTCAACTTTATTCTAGATTTGAAGCTTTCGTGACTGCAAGGATCCATACTCTTTGGTTCTATTCGGTAAAGTCACGTAAAAGTATAAAACAATAAAAATAAAAAATTCACGACGTTTCGGCCACAACACAAGTGGCCTTCATCAGGTGAAGGCCACTTGGTCCCTTCACCTGATGAAGGCCACTTGTGTTGTGGCCGAAACGTCGGGAATTTTTAAATTTTGTTGTTTTATACTTTTACGTGACTTTACCGAATAGAACCAAAGAGTAAAGTTCAACTTACATACGTACGCGCGGTACTGTGTGAACATGTTGCGCGTGTTCGTGCGTGTACACGTGCCTGTGTACGTGCGTATGTGCGCACAAGCGTGCCTGTGCGTGCCCGTGTATGCGTGTGCACGTGCGTACCCACCAGTGTAAATCTGCCCACAGTCCCATCGGCCGGGCGTGTTGCGGGGGTGATTGGCAGCCCAATTTGTGAACCCAGACACGGCCGTCCCGTCGGACCACTTCATCTCGCCATCGCGCTCCTTGTCTGCACGTCACCCAGCACCGTCGTCAACATCATTAACGTCACCAGGAGAAACTGGCCTCGTCGCCACCGTCACGAGCACAGCAGCAGCGTGAATGTTACGAACACCACCAACAGCAGTAGCAGCAGCATGAGAGCCGTGATCAGCCTCGACCATCAACGCCATCACCAAAAGCACAAACAGCATCTCCATCACCAGCAGCAGCATCACCAACATCACCACCAGCACTAGCATCATCACTGTAACTACATCACCGTCATCACCATCATTACCATTACAAGCGTCGGTATCGCCACAAACCATCGTGATCATCGCCATCATCATCATCACAGCCATTACTGCTGATATCAACAGCATATCGTATGGCCATCATCATCATGATCATCGCCTGGTCTCTGGGGGAGGGGGGGGACCAACCGGACGCTCCGATCCAGAAGTCCACGACTCGGTTGTTCTGGAGGTCAGGAATCAGAGAGTTGATGAAGTCCTGTTCATCAACACTGCGAGCACGCACAGAGAAAAAGAGACAAAGAACCCCCGTGTAGCTTACACAGACTGTTGGGGCAAGTCCTGTTAGCGAGCATCCATCATGGCCAGCACGGCGCACAACGGGAGCGGTAGCGTGGCCATTACGAAGTCCGGCTGTCTTTGTCTCCCCGGTACCGATGTTCACACGCCGTACCCGACTCTAGTTTAAGAGACCGAGTCGACCACAAAGAAGCCCGGCGACACTTCAGATATCGGTCGCCAATGATGTTGGCCGTGCCCGGGATTTTAACTCGGGGAACCCGGGTGTGTAGCACAGTGCGCAAACAACTACGCCACCTCTCACCGCGGCGGTGGCGACGCAACACACCCACTCTAAATCACGTGCGCTACAAACATGCAGGCGCAGTTTTGTGTGGTTTAAAATGTATGTTTGTTGAACTTCTTTTGCGCCGTACGTCGGAGGTGCGGGGGAGGAAGGACAATAAACGAAACACAAAAATCAGTTCGAAAGCAATGAGTTTTCAATATAGAGTTAAAAGTGCATAGCTCTGGTGGGTCCCTAATATCAGAATACATGGCAGCGGATAATGCAGTTAAAGCCCAGCCAATTTAAACTCCGAACCTCGGACAGGTGACGTCTCACCTCCTGACGGCGATTGGTCATGGCCACAGGTAATGTAATCTGGTGAAGGTGTTTGTCGATGGCTATTGGTGACGGCGATTGGTGATATTGGCGGTGGTGTCACACATATTGATGGAGGGCAGCTGGGCGCCAAAACCTCAGGCAGGTGATGACTCGCCTCGCGATGGTGATCAGTGATGGTGACTGGTGATGGTGAAGGAAGATGATGGGTGATGGTGATGTATGTATGTTGAATTTATTTCGCACCGTACGTAGCCAACCGTGCTAATCGGAGGTGCGGGGGAAGGACAACTAAACACAAAAAGTGGTTCTAAATAAACGAGTTTTCAATCTAGATTGTGATCTTCTCATGGAAAGCAGCTGAGCAAGCACTGATCCTGTGCCAGTCGGCGTTCCCGTCTACGTCATGGTGATTTTTCGAGAGTGAAGATGATGGTTTGATGATGGGCGTCACCTGTTGATGGACAGCAGCTGGGCGCCGACCCTCTGGCAGGTGAACAGGGCCTCGTTCCACGTTGTTCTCCGGACGAGGCTTGTCACCACCCAGTAGCAGCGGCCCGCAAACGGGACCCAGCCCTCGGGGCACACGGCTGTGCACATCATCGCCATCGACACCAACATCATCATCGACATCATCAGCAGCATCACCATGGCCACCGTCGTCAACACGATCTTCACCATCAGCATCACCGTCGGCATCATTGTAGTCATTAGAATAGACACCATCATCAATTCACCATCAATGACACTGTTGTCATGGTCACCAACACCAAATGCCATCGTCACCATCATCATTAACACTACAAATTAACCTTATGGTCGTACCCCGGGGTACCATATTACCCCGGCTCTCATATATTGTCCGTGATGCAGTCATTTTTGGTCTGTTGATGGTCAGCAATGCGGCAATCGACTCATCTAGACGAGCTGTACACGATGCACGATTCAAAGTTAAATTTTTCGATAACGGATTTTTTTAATGATAACGTTTGGCGTTTCGAGATCGCGGAGCAGCACTGATTTCGAATTGATTGGTACCTCAGTCGCGGAGCTAAGTAAACCCCTGGAAAAAAATAGTGTCCCAGAAATAAAATATTTAATTGCCTCGGCCAATTTGTATTATTTGGTACCCCGGGGTACCACCATAAGGATCAAATGTCACCATCATCATTACAGCCACCAGCGCCACGTCCATGGCCCAACGACAAAGACCGCCCCATACAGCCTTAACAGACTTTTCGGGCAAGTACAGTTATCGAGCACCTATGAAGGCCGGCATGGCAAATGTTGGGGTGGGTGGCCACCATCACGCCCGGCCGCACTTTGTCTCTCTACATGTACTCATTTCAGGCTGAGTTGACCTAGAGGAGGCCCAGGACCGGTTCAGATAATTGTCACTGGCGTTAGTGGCCGTGATCGATAATCGAACTCTGGCCGAAGGGTTCGTAGCACAGCGTGCTAACCGCTGCACTACCGCTCCCCACTTCCACGACCACTACAATAACCACCACCATCACGCACTGTTGAGGCCGCGCTTGCAGATAAAGGGCCGCTCCTCCCCGCATCGTTTGGTCATCCACCCGCCCGTGTCTTCCCCCGGCATACGTACGATCTTCACACACAGCTTGTGGGCTTCAGGACTACGCACACACACACACACACATAAACACGCCAATCTTGAGATGTTCACAATTTCTTAATTTCTCCAATTCACATTTCATAAAACACACGTACATATATGGTAAGAATGAATATTGATTGATGAGCGATCAGGGTCAAAGTCACATTGTTTTGGGCTTCTGTATGATACTGTTGGTTGGCCAGAATTAGGGGGTCACATTCAGGGATCAGGGGTTAAGGTCACCTTATGTCAGGCTCCTCGGTATCCCAGTTGCTGTATGAGAACACTTCTCCTGTGCTCCAGTGGAAGTCACTGCTGTTCCCGTGGCAGCCAAACGCTGTACACGTCTGATTGAACGACAAGAAAAAGACACAAACGCACACCGCATGCACGCGCCTGTGATGCCCGAGCAACATCACTCGTAGCCTAAATCCACCAAACGTCAAAAAGCAATTGTCCCAAAGCGTTCGTAAAAACACTGGGATTTGCCCCAGTGTTCGGCACCTCCGCCGCGCACAACCTGCCACACCGTCGGGGCTTTCCTTACCAGGCGGGAGAGGCCGATCCAGGGGTCGTTGTCGAGCCTCTGCGCGAGCGCAAGGGCGTGCGCCTGCTCGTCGGCACTGGTGACCGCGACCAGGTCGCCGCCGTTTCTCACGCAGTAGGTGCGCGCGTTCGGCCAGGTGCGCTCGGGTGACACGGAGAGCAGATAGCACGAGTCGCCCCTCAGCTCCCAGCCCACGTCGCAGCCCGGCATAGCCGGGCCTTGGGGCAGCGACAAGGTGGAAAAGGGAGCGTTACTCTCAGAGGCAGGGCCGGTGTGCCGAGGTATGCCGCTCACGCAGCGCGTGATTAAATAGTCATTGGGTTTTTTTTTTATCTCCTCCATTCGGCACTGAGTAGAAGACAGCACGACTCTTCTTCACCTCGTGACATCTCGCCGATGACACAGTTGGCATTGCAGTTGAGAAAGGAGACAAATTATAGGAGAGGTGGTGCAGTGATGGTGCTGTGGTGTTTCGTGTAGATTTGTGGCAATGTCATGATGGTGTAATAGTGTGCGGTGGTGTTTGGGTTGTTAATTTTCATTTTTTTAGCATCATTGATAATTGCATACAAAATAAAACTATTACAACAAAACATCTCTTAAGTTGGCTTCACGATGAATATGAAAGGTCATTTAAAAGAAATGTGCTGAACAATTGGAGATATCTGTAAGAAGGACACAATAACCTGTATATCCACCACTGTAATTCCTTGACCTCCAAACCCCCAACACCCCCCCCTCACCGCTCTCGCAGATGAACTTTTGGGACAGGAGGCACGAGGCGTCGTTCCAGAACCCTCCGTCCCCAGCTGCAATGTCCCCACAGTCCTCCCCAGATCCCCCCTGTGCGTCCGGCCAGTCATCGGGCTGCCCAGGTCTCCATTTCCTGCAGCACGCGAATCATCCGCATCATCATCGTCATCATCCCCATTTCCTATAGCACACGCGTACACAGGTGTATGTACGTGTACTCGAGTGTGGGTAGGTGTACACAGGTGTGCACGGATATGGGTAGCTGTATACAGGTGAGGACGTGTATGGGTAGCTGTACACAGGTGTGCACGGGTATGGGTAGGTGTACACAGGTGTGCACGGGTATGGGTAGGTGTACACAGGTGAGCACGGGTATGGGTAGGTGTACACAGGTGTGCACGGGTATGGGTAGGTGTACACAGGTGTGCACGTGTATGGGTAGCTGTACACAGGTGTGCACGGGTATGGGTAGGTGTACACAGGTGTGCCCGGGAATGGGTAGCTGTACACAGGTGTGCACGTGTATGGGTAGGTATACACAGGTGTGCACGGGTATGGGTAGGTGTACACAGGTGTGCACGGGTATGGGTAGGTGTACACAGGTGTGCACGGGTATGGGTAGGTGTACACAGGTGAGCACGGGTATGGGTAGGTGTACACAGGTGAGGACGTGTATGAGTAGGTGTACACAGGTGTGCACGTGTATGGGTAGCTGTACACAGGTGTGCACGGGTATGGGTAGCTGTACACAGGTGTGCATGTGTATGGGTAGCTGTACACAGGTGTGTACGTGTATGGGTAGCTGTACACAGGTGTGCACGTGTATGGGTAGGTGTACACAGGTGTGCACGTGTATGGGTAGCTGTACACAGGTGTGCACGTGTGTGCACGCTCACTGGAGCTCCGGCAGGTAGGGGGACCCGTCGCTCCACTCATAGACCCCCTCAGTCACTTGGTCGTGCAGACCAAACCAGTAGAGGTTCGATCCCACCAGGTGCGACGCGATCCAGTTCTGAAACAGGTGCAACAACAAGAACATCCACAGATGTAGCGGCTGCCAATCGCCCGTAAGTGACGGTGAGGTGTCACAACGCACTCTTGTGCCAGGCTAGGTGCACCTCGTGAACACGCATACAGCGCACAGTACGAGAACGCAAATGAAAAGCGCACACAAATACAAATCGTACAGCACATCGTCGTCATCCATAATCGATCCACTTCTGAATGAAGACCTCCCCAAAGGCGTTACCATCGCTCACTAATTTCTCGCGACGCGCGAGGCATCCATAGCTCCTGCACACGTGCTCTCTCCTTTCGTCTGCTACTCCTTCGTTTAGTCTCGACCAGAGGCGACCGGTCCAGCCACGTGCCCTGCCCCCTTAGCCCACTTACTTTTCTAAAGGCGATGTTGATAATGAAGTAAATTATAATAATAAAAAAACATCTCCAACTTGGCGTAGATGTTCTCCAATACATGCGTTCCTCTGTCTCTCGGTGAATTCATTCCCAGCATGAATCCCTTTCTCAATGCTTCTCTCTGCAGCAATTCGTGAGCGATGACAACTCTGGGTTCCATCTTCACACACGCAGTCCACCACAGATGCCACACGAGTCCTCCACGGCCATGGTGAATAGGGGTAGGTGAGTGCATGGCCATGGTGAATAGGGGTAGGTGAGTGCATGGCCATGATGAGTAGGGGTAGGTGAGTGCATGGCCATGGTGAGTAGGGGTAGGTGAGTGCATGGCCATGGTGAGTAGGGGTTGGTAGGTGCATGACCATGGTGAATAGGGGTAGGTGAGTGCATGGCCATGGTGAATAGGGGTAGGTGAGTGCATGGCCATGGTGAGTAGGGGTTGGTAGGTGCATGACCATGGTGAATAGGGGTAGGTGAGTGCATGATCATGGTGAATAGGGGTAGGTGAGTGCATGGCCATGGTGAATAGGGGTAGGTGAGTGCATGATCATGGTGAGTAGGGGTAGGTGAGTGCATGATCATAGTGAGTAGGGGTAGGTGAGTGCATGATCATGCTGAGTAGGGGTAGGTGAGTGCATGATCATGGTGAGTAGGGGTAGGTGAGTGCATGATCGTGGTGAGTAGGGGTAGGTGAGTGCATGATCATGGTGAGTGGGGGTAGGTGAGTGCATGATCATGGTGAGTGGGCGTAGGTGAGTGCATGGTCATGGTGAGTAGGGGTAGGTGAGTGCATGATCATGGTTAGTGGGGGTAGGTGAGTGCATGATAATGGTGAGTAGGGGTAGGTGAGTGCATGACCATGGTGAGTAGGGGTAGGTGAGTGCATGGCCATGGTGAGTAGGGGGGGGTGAGTGCATGATCATGGTGAGTGGGGGTAGGTGAGTGCATGATCATGATGAGTAGGGGTAGGTGAGTGCATGATCATGGTGAGTAGGGGTAGGTGAGTGCATGATCATGGTGAGTAGGGGTAGGTGAGTGCATGATCATGGTGAGTAGGGGTAGGTGAGTGCATGATCATGGTGAGTAGGGGTAGGTAAGTGCATGATCATAGTGAGTGGGGGTAGGTGAGTGCAAGATCATGGTGAGTAGGGGGGGTGAGTGCATGATCATGGTGAGTAAGGGTAGGTAAGTGCATGACCATGGTGAGTAGGGGTAGGTGAGTGCATGACCATGGTGAGTGGGGGTAGGTGAGTGCATGGTCATGGTGAGTGGGGGTAGGTGAGTGCATGATCATGGTGAGTAGGGGTAGGTGAGTGCATGATCATGATGAGTAGGGGTAGGTGAGTGAATGATCATGGTGAG